GCAGCCCCTGACCCAGTGGGGGGCCCGACTGGCAGCTTCCCCACCCCCCACCCACGGAGGCCCTTCACTCCCCATCACGGGGGGGGGGGGGGTTCCCTCTCCGGACGGGTCAGCTCAGGCTGTGGCCGGATTGTGCTGTGTTGATTGGGGGAATCTTAAATGTCGCTCCGTATTAAGAGAGCTTGACAAGGGATTTCTCTCCCCCGCATGGCATTATTGTTTCCCTTTAATCCCCTGGGGTGTCTGACACTGAAATCTGCTGGGAATGGAAGGCAGGGCTGGGGGGGCAGGGCTGGGGGAGGGGGCGAGGTCTCCATTCCAAAGGAGGCTGCGGATCAGAGCGCTGGAGGGGTCTCGCTTCATTCATGAGACATCTGCAGATCCAGGCTGGGATCTTGGGGACTGACAAAGAAGAAGGGGCTGAAAATCAGCTGGGGAAGACAACTCCCTCCTACTCCCGAACAAACCCGCCCTTCCACTGAAAGCTGTGTCAGCTAGAGAGGCCTTTTGGTGTAGTGGTTAAGTGTGCAGACTACTGGGCAAGCCAGAGTTCTGACAAGAGCTGTCCTTGAAAAAGTGCAGTTTCTCTCAGAGCTCTCTCAGCCCCGCCTACCTCACAGGGTGTCTGTTGTGGGGAGGGGAAGGGAAGGGAGTTTGTCAGCCACTCTGAGACTCCAAGTGAAGGGCGGGGTATAAATCTAATCCCCCTCCTCCTCCTCCTCTGGCACTGCCGGTTGTGGAATTCCCTCTCCAGGCAGAACCACCCGGAGCCATCTTGGTCACTTTTGGGTAGAAGCCAGGCTAACTTTGACCCATATGCCCATGGATTCAGCACCTCCTAATCAGATGAGTATTCAATAATCTGCTTTTTAGGTTGTGCCCTCTTTCCCCGATGGCTGTGATCTGGCGCTTTTCATTTTCAGTTTGCAAAGGCAACGGCTATTTCATGGCTTTTCAACTTTTAAAGAACTGCCCAACTTCTTCTAAAACACGTAACAGCTTAAAGAGTCGCGTAAACGAGGAATAAAGCAATGCACTTCAATAAACAAGGATCAGCACCCAACGATGGACACTGAAAAGCACAGCCAGCCGCTTGACAATGCACTGGATCTGCAGGAGGATCCTGACCATGCAGCGCAGCAGCGGCAACCAGCCAGGATGCTACAGAACATTCAAAGGGATCACTGGAGCGGAATATTCCGCTCCTTCCTCTCTGAATCTTGCAGGAGGAGGTGCCACCGGATGTTCTCAAGGCCAACTAGACCTTCTGAAAGGAGGTCATTCTGGCCAGAAAGTCTATTTGGGGGGACCTTTTTTTTTTTTTTTTTAATCCCCCGAAGGGTAGCTTTATTGATTTTTTATTACACCTACGTGACTACAAAAAGGAAAAGAGAGAAAGAAGAAAAAAAAGAGGAGAAAAAAGGGGAGGGGAAGGGGAGGGGAGGGGAAAAAAATAACAAACTAAAATAACAAACCTATTTGGGGGGACCTTCTTGAAGTAGAAATGCCATAAGCTACAGGGGTCATTTCCTGCAGGAGCGCACAGGAGCGGAGCTCCGGCAGTAAGGAGCCCAGGGGGCGGGCACATGCAACAAGCCCCACCCCCTGCTCCCAGCAGCCCTCAGTTGGGCCTCGAGGAGCAATTAGCAGCCAGGTAAGGTGCAGAGCCCCCCCCCCGGCCTGCCTCCAGGTACAAGCTCTCCCGCCTCTGACAGGGTGAGGGCAGATTTGCACGTTCCCCCCCCCCATAGCTAGCAATCCAAAACAGTCCAGTGGCACCTTTAAGACCAAGTTTTATTCAGGCACAAGCTCTCCCTCCTCTCCCAGGACAGATCTGCACGTTCCTCCCCCCAATAGCTAGCAATCCAAAACAGTCCCGTGGAGCCTAAGCGGTCGGTGTTGCCTTCTGATACACTTCCGGTGATGTCAGGGGGGGGCGGGTGTGGCATATGCAAATGAGTTATGCTAATAAGTTATGCTAATGAGCTCCTGCACCTCTATTTCTACGAAACGACCCCTGCATAAGCACATAAATAAATAAATGAGGTCACTCCACACTGAATTGAATTTTCAAAATTGTAAAGGAAGCATTCAACAATGTGGATTAAAAAATTTGCAGGTTTTTTGCACTTCCTATAAATGGCATGAGGAAATGCTCAGAGGCACCCAGCCCGTCCTTTCTACCGTTGGGTCTCCCATTTACCTGCCTTGCCCTAATACACCCCTTGAGGAACTGAGAAGAGTGGGAGAAGAATAGCTTAGGAAAGACCACAGAGGCTAGGGGAGCCAGCCTAGAGTGTCATCCAACAATGACATCACACACACCCCAAACTCTGTCATCACCCCCCCCCAAAAAAAAATCTCCTAGCATTTGCTTAGGCAGCGTTTGGAACCCTATCTTCTGTTTCCAGTCCCTTCCAAATATTCACTAACTCCTCATCCTTGGATTCAAGGGTTTCCACAGGTATAGGAAGCTGCTTTCTGACCTGGATGGTCCAAACTAGCCTCATGTTGACAGACCTCAGAAGCTAAGCAAGGTCAACCCTGCTCAGTACTCGGATGGGAGACCACCACGGAAGTCCAGGGTTGCTATGCAGAGGCAGGCTATGGCAGACCAGCAATATGTGATATAAAGCTTAGCAGTACATACAAAGTAATACAATACTAGTTACAGACAAACGACGGAGTTCTAGTACACTGTCCGTTTGCGTGTCCTTCATCAGGTTTGTCATTCTGTACTTATTACTTCATTAGAATGAAGTGCTGCAAGCCATACAATTTTTGATGTATGCTACCGCGCTTAGAATCTGGTGACTGGGGAGCTCCTATAGCAAGCTCTAATGTGACGGTCTACAGCATATAGGGGAAGCTTAGCCAATTATTATATGCTGTAGACCCCTGTCACAAACCCATGAGGCAGGGGTGTCAAACATGCGGCCCAGGGGCTGTATCAGGCCCCCAGAGGGCTCCTATCAGGCCCACAGTGGAACTGGCCGTCTCCTGCTTCTTCTTCTTCCAGTTCTGCTGCTGCTGCGTCATCGCACGTTTGCAGCTTACAGATACACACCCGAAAAACAGACTCAAGACTGCAACAGCACAGATATTTTGATGCAATGATTCAGAAGGTGTCAGTTATCAGACACTGTTCAATAAACAAAATATTGCAAGAGTGCTCATGTTTTAAGCATGTTTTTATTTTAAGTAAAATAAGCATCCTTTGTGTTTGTGTCCTTTATAAAGTTTATATCTCCGCCACTTGGCATTACATTTTACGGCACACGTGGCCTGGCCCAACAAGGTCTCGTTGATGTCAGAACCGGCCCTCGTAACAAATGAGTTCGACACCCCTGCCATGAGGGGTCGGCAGAACTCAGCTGCAACTTGATGGCGCTCTCCACCACCAGAAAGTCGGATTCCCTTTTGGCGATTTGGGGAGTGATGTGTTCTCCTAATGATAGTGAGGAGGCTGCTGGTCCAGGGAGCCCCCCCCTCTCTTTTTGCATCATGGAGCCAAGCCCGACTGGCCACACAGCCCAATGACAGCCTCACCCTACATTCTCGACAAGATCCCTGATTCACGAAGACTGCGCCCAAGAAGGCCGAGGCTCAGGGAGGGCTTGGCTTTCAAACTGCTCCCAAAGCAGCAGCGAAACAGGGAAACCACGAAGCGTGAACAAGGGGAGATATTTGGACATAGTTCACCTTTACAGGATGAACGGTCACCAAAGCATTGATTTTTGAGACCCATTTCCAGCTTTGAATACATCCAGCAGACAAATCCCAAGCCCGGAATACACTCAGAACAGATTATTTCTTTGCCGGCTGCTCGAGGCACAGCAACCAAAGAGATCAGATGCTCAGGCAGTAATAATATTCTCCATCTTCCCAGAGCAGATTGGCTGAGAAGAGCAAACAGGGAGGCAGGCAGGGAGCGAGAGAGAGAGAGAGAGAGAGAGAGAGAGAGAGAGAGAGAGAGAGAGAGAGACAGACAGAGACAGAGACAGAGACGGCCATCCCATTCCCCGGCAGGGTTAAACTCCCATCATCCCCTGAAAAGACTTAATGGGTTTTGAGATAAATAGACCTCTGGCCCACCGCTGCTGTCCAGGTGACCTGGAACTAAATGGCGTTTGACACAGTTTACTAACACAATCTAGGGTTTGAGCACATGGGGGCGAGGGGGAAGGTTGTCAGATAATTCAGCCACTCCATTGTGCACAGGGGTGCTTGAACGTTGACCCATCCAGTAAACCAGAGGAATGATGGAAAGATGCATCCCCCTCACACAATCAAAAAGACTTCCTTGTAGCATAAAGAGTTACCCTCCTCCCATCAGTGGAGTCCACCCATCAGACGTCTGCACGAGTCACTGTCCTGAGAGTGCCTCACTGGAGGGTAGGGAACGGTCCCAGAGCTTCATTACATAAGCATATGGAGCAGAGGCCCATCGGTGGCTATTAGCCACAAGGTATAGATAGGGACTCGAGGGCAAGGGATGCTTTGTCTTCTTGGTGCTGAGGGGGGAAACAGTGGGAGGGCTTCTGGTGTCCCGGCCCCACTGCTGGACCTCCTGAGGGCCCCTGGTGTTTTTGGCCACTGTGGGACACAAAAGTGTTGGACTGGATGGGCCACTGGCCTGATCCAGCATTGGCTTCTCTTATGTTCTTATGTTCTTATGTCTTGCTGCAGGACAAAAGGGTTTGGAGAAGTCCGCTGTGCAGAGAAGCAAGAGAATTGTCCCCAGCCGATAGGAAGGTGGTGGCAGAGACGCGGCGGGCACCCTCCACCCTGCTTGTTGGCTCCATTCTGGCACACTGTGTTTCTGCCCAGCACACTTCTGAGAATTACTGAACACCAAAGAAGCAGGGAAGGGAATGTTCAGTCTTTGTGGGTGGGGAGGGGGGAGTCCTGCGGCCCCTCGGCTCTGTTCTCCCAACACACACCGAACAGTGCAGCAGGAACTCGGCTGCAAAGGAAGAGTTTGGGGGCCGCACACTTACCCGGTACCAGACGATCTCCCGCATCCTGCCATCTGTCTTGAAATTACATTTCAAAGTCACGGCATCCCCGACCACCACCGGAGGAAGCGGCTCGATGTTGACAGTCAGGTAACCTGTAGGGAACAAGGATCATCCGTGAGAACACAGGAATTGCCTCGCCGAATTAGACCCCAGGTCCATCCTGCAACCAGGTTCAGGTTTCAGTTTATTGCCTTTAGCCACAGGCCATTGCAATGACAGAACACTATAACAAGAACATCCGTATAAACGTCTAAAACCAGAAGAATGAAAAACTAAGTTAGGACACATTAAAACATTATACTAATTCCAGCTCTTCCATCCAGACTTCCGTTGATAATCAAGCGATGGCATTGCTACTATTTTCTTCCAAATTTTCTCTGCAGCTAGGGCAAAGAGGGCCACCACCATGTATGCAATTTCAGCCTCTACATCTGCTGCATCATGCAACTAGACACACACACACACACCCCACTGCTTAAGGTATATCAGAAGGAGGCAATGGCAAAGACGGCACCTCCCCCATTTTTTCAGCATCCAGAAATCAAAGATACCCTGCCTTGCAGCATGGAGGCTCCATTTTCAGCATTCAGAAAAACTGCACAAGCCAGTTCTACAGCAGCCAGAAGGAGAAGGAGGCCTTTGAGAACTAGAAGAGAGCCGGGACTTAACCTAGGGTTGCCAACCCTGGGCTGGAAAATTCCTGGAGATGTGGGAGTGGAACCTGATGAGGGAGGGACCTCCGCAGGATATCATCCCAGAGCGTCCACCCTCCAAAGTGGGGTCTGGAGGAGCCCACCTCTGTATTCTGGGAGATCTCCAGGCCCTACTGGAGGCTGGCAATGCCAATTAACACCCCTTTTCATTTCATTTTATTCTTCATCTTGTTTTCTGAATAAAATTATTAATGGCAGCTGGGTTTGAGGTGGGGGGGGGACCAGTGTACCCTCTAAGCTGAGCTAGTGTGAGCTACCACACAGTTTTTTAGCCTCCAGCTCACACATTTCATATCTTAGCTCAGGAAGGAGGGCTCCAAGCAAACTCATTTATGCAGCAGCCCAATCGCTCGCTCACCACTTTAATGCCGGTAGCTCACAAAGTGGAATTATTGCTCACAAGATTCCACAGCTTAGAGGGAGCACTGGGGGGGGGATCGTTTTGTCGCATGCCAGGGACAGACGTACTTTTGGGAGGACCACGGGCTCAGTGGCAGAGCCTCTGCTTGGCATGCAGATGGTCCCTGGTTCAGTCCCCGGCATCTCCAGTTGAAGGGCTCAGGGGACAGGTCTTGGGCAAGGCCTCTTTCAGTCTCAGGGTTTGGAGGCAAGACTGGGCCAAAGGAACCAAGATTTGGCGCAGTGGAGAGCTCTGCACACAGAGAGGGTCTCTCTCGGGCTCTATCCGAGCCGCCTCGGCGGGAGGGCGGGATTAAAAAAAATTAAATAAATAAATAAATAAATATCCCTGTCATCTCCCAGCCGGGACAGCATTTTCATGCCTATGACCCAAGAGAGAGGAAGAGGAGGACGAGGAGGAGGAGGACGAGGAGGAGAAGAGGAGGAGGAGGAGGAGCAGGAGCAGCAGGAGGAGGAGGAGGAGATTGGATTTATACCTCGCCCTTCACTCGGAGTCTCAGAGCAGCTTACAGACTCCTTTCCCTTCCCCTCCCCACAACAAACACCCTGTGAGGTAGGCGGGGCTGAGAGAGCTCTGAGAGAACTGGTCTTTCAAGAGCAGCTCTGACAGAACTATGGCTTGCCCAAGGTCATCCAGCTGCTGCAAATGGAAGAGTGGGGAATCAAACCTGGTTCTCCTGGATTAGAGTCCGCGCACTTAACCACTACCCCAAACTGGCCAGTCGAAGGCCACCACGTGGAGCGAGATGAACCCAGGGACCTAATCTGGCCTAAGGCAGGTCCACCTAAACTGTTGACAGGCAAGCTCCTCCCTGGGGGGTAAATATAGCCCCCACCAGCCAACAGATCATTGGGTTGAGAAACACAATCCCTGCAGACGGGCAGTGGAAGGAAAGAGGTTTACATGAGCCAGGTGGGGTGGGTGGGTCAGTCCTACGATGCTTCCTTGGCTGTTCATGTGGAAAGTGGAAAGAACCTGGAAATTCCACTTAAGGGGAACTTCAGAGGAACAACAGGAGGAACAATTTTGTCTAATTCCCCCTCCCCAGCCTCTTTTTTTTGCTTCTACAAATTTAACCTGCTCCAGGTGGAACTGAAAGCTCGGCCTCCGGCACATTTCTCATTAACGGCGCCGAAGATTCCATTTCAGAGGATATTATAACATCTAAACGGAGCAAAGTCGGCTTACTGGATTACATGGGGAAAGAATAATATTTTGACCAGTCTTCCGGAAAAGGAGAAAGACGTTACAGTGCGGCCACTTTCAGAGCTTAATAGCATCCGGGCATGATCCACAAAGCTGTTCTCAGTGTCGGGGTCCAGCTCTGAGACAGATGGGATAAAAAAAATTAACCGCTGAGAATGTGCAGAGTGCTGTCTCTCTCACACCACTAAGGAACTCAAAGCAAATCCAGGTTTATTGCTATGGAAAGTAGGGAGCAACCACAGGTTTTGTTCTTTCCCTCCAAAACGTGGCTCAGAATGTTCATCTCTCCTCCACGGACATTGAGGCTCGGCTGGGCTGGCGTGTTCCGGAGGGCAATCCCATTGTCCACCCAAAGGGCCTGAGGATGGGAGCGCAGACCTGCCAGAGCAGGTGAACGGTTCCATCTAACCCAACATCCCACCCAGCCTGCAGACAGTGTCTAACCAGATGCTCTAGAAAGCCCACAAACCGGGCACAGAGGCCGAGGCCTCCTCCCACTGCCACCCTGCAGAAAGTGGTATTCAGAGGTAGACGGCCTCTGACTCTGGAGGTTCCATTTGGCCATCCTGGCTAACAGACTTGGTCGGACCTACTGTCTCCCACAAGTTTCTCTAAAGCGATCTCTGTTGGTGGCCATGCAGGAGTAAGATGGAAGCTATCAGGTACATTTTGACGGAGGAAGAACGACTGGCCCAACGCCAACTCCTGGCCACCCTGCCCGACTTGACTAGAGTCCTGGCTCAATGCCAATGCACCATCCAGCCCTCCAGACAGGCTCTGGGCACTCCCCCCCCAAAAAAAAACACCTCTCCATCAGTGCTCCCTCTAAGCTGTGGACTCTTGTGAGAAAAAATTCTACTTTGTGAGCTGCTGGCACTAAAGTTGTGAGCGAGAGATTTGGTTGCTGCATAAATCAGTTTGCTCTGGATCCTTCCTGAGCTAAGACGAAAATGTGTGAGCCGGAGGCTAAAAAACTATGAGCTCGCTCACACTAACTCAGCTTAGAGGGAACACTGCTCTCCATCCTATCAGCCCAATGCAAATGTCTGCAAAGGACTCCATGAGATGCCTCAGAAAGTGAAGGAAAAGACAGATGGCTTTAAAAAAATAACAACCAGCTTTGACCCTCCCCAACAATCCACGTTCTTCTCCTTGCGCCACGGTGCTGGACAGACGCCGACGCCTCCATTAACTTGACGCTTCATTACTTTGGACGGCCCCATCTCTCTCCCAGCAAGCACTTTTATGCCTCGCCTATTAAGATACATTTAACAAAATAACGGGCAATATTTAAGAATTAGACACGGCCACACGGGGAGATGACTGCCAAAGATCTGTCTCTGTCAGGCATTTGGAGAGGAGTGAAAGAAGCCGTGCAAAACGACACCCCTCTGAGGTGTCTGGGGAGGAATGGCTCATGCAAGAGAACCGGATTAAGGGGGTGGGGAGCCCAGGGCCAGAAGGAGGATTTTGACGTAGGGATCCTTTCAGGTATGTGTACATACAAAGTGAAGCTATTATACTTTGGTTGCATTAGGAGAAGACACGAGTCACTGGAAAAGACACTAATGCTAGGAAAAGAGGAAGACGCAACATGAAGCCTCAGCTAATTACTCTCAGCGTTCCACAATTAAGAAGGGTGCGTTTACACATCAGTCTCCAATTTTTAAATATTTATTTGCTTCAGTAGCCCCCCCCCCCCGGGACTTTTTTCAAAATAATGAATGGCAACCATATAAACTAAGCTTGTTATTCCTGTTTGGTCCTTGCATCTGTTAAACACCTTCATTATGCTGTATGCTAATTTGCTGCTCACCCTCTACCTATATGTATGGACTGGGAACTTCCATTTCAATGCATCTGAGGAAGTGTGCATGCACGTGAAAGCTTATACCTTGAATGAAACTTTTGTTGGTCCTAAAGGTGCCCCCACTGGGCTCGGATTCTATTCTGTTCCTTCAGACCAACATGGCTACCCACCTGAACCCAACATGAGATGGATGGACTCCATCCAGGAAGCCACAAAGAACTCAGTCTGCAAGACCTGAGCCAGGCTGTCAACGACAGGTCATCTTGGAGCTCATTAAATCATAGAGTTGCCATGAGTCAGAAGTGACAGCACTTAATGCACACAGATATACTGCATCAGATCACTGGTCCATCAAGGTCAGGACTGGCAGCGACTCTCCAGGGTCTCAGGCAGAGGTCTTTCCCATTACCTACTGCCTGGCCCTTTTCACTGGAGATGCCGGGGATTGAACCTGGGACCTTTTGCATGCCAAGCAGATGCTCTGTCACAGAGCCACAGCCCCTCTTTACAGCTCTCCAGGGTCTCAGGCTGAAGTCGTTCCCATCACCTCCTGCCTGGCCCTTTTAACTGGAGATGCCTGGAATTGAACCTGGGTCCTTCTGCATGCCAAGCAGAGGCTCTGCCCCTGAGCCACAGCCCCTCTTTACAGCTCCCCAGGGTCTCAGGCTGCGGTCTTTCCCATCACCAGCTGCCTGGCCCTTTTAACTGGAGATGCCTGGAATTGAATCAGGGACCTTCTGCATGCCAAGCAGAGGCTCTGCCACTGAGCTGTAGCTCCTCCCCCCTTTCAAATTTCTCATCCTTGCCCTCCTGACCTCAGAATCAGCTTTTCTGTTTACTTCTCCTCAGTGCAAAACATACCAGTGATTCTTGATTTGGGTGCTATTTTCTGTTTCTTAACAGGATCTCTCCCGTTAACCAAACACAGCTGCCGCGGTCCGGAGGGTGCAACCCCCCAGCGCTTCCTGCCTCTGCTCACTCGCCAGCCGCCATGGCGGAGGCGATCGCCCGGTTAGGGCGGCGGGGGGGGGCGCAGTTTGGGGCTTTTGGCGGGGGGGCACCTACTTCGCCTAGCGGGCGAGCCAGTCCTGGGCCTTGCAGGGAAAAGCCAGGGTTGATTTCTTTTAGGATTGACTAATATGATCTCCTTGCAGTCCAAGGGACTCTCAAGAGTCTTCTCCAGCACCATACTTCAAAAGAATCTATTCGTCAGTGCTCAGCCTTCCTTATGGTCCAAACTCTCGCAGCCATACATGATTACTGGGAATACCATTGCTTTGACCATACAAACATTGTATTAACATTGTATTAACAAGTATTAACATTGCTAAATTTGTTAATTTCTCTAAACCCAAATTAGGCTGGCTCCTAGAGTTGCCTATGGGAGAGTCTCCTGGACCGTTTCAGTGGCAAAAATCAGGCAACTAGCTGTGCGGTCCTAAGAGCACTTCCCTGGGAGTAAGTACCATTGAGTAGGCCTGATCAGGATTCTGCGTAGACTCACTTAGGATTGCTGCTACCAGACGTTCTGAGACCTGGATTTTATTCTCGACGAGGTAGCCATTTTTAAGACGGGTGCATTCATTTTTTACTGGTTTAAGAATATTCTGCTTCACATTTTTAGCTATTCTATTATAAGCTCCTTTGAGGGCCTTTATGGTGGAAAAGCAGCTTAGGAAGTTAAAATTCTCTCTTTCAACGCAGACGCAGAAATATGGTCCAGAAACATCTAAATCCGTCTCCAGAAATGTTAATGAAGACACATTTCAAAAACAAGAGACGGCATCGGCGACACAAACCTGAGTGCGTGGGGGGTGGGGGTGGGAAGGAATAGAGAAAAGAGGTAGCAGAGTTTTAAAAATTTAAAGCCCCTTGTTGAAGCACGACGACGTGGAATGCCGAGCGCCCAAGTTGCCAGGGTGACTTTTGACAGCTGTGGAAAAGCACCTGGAGGAAAATGTATTATGGATGACAGAGACCGAAATCGCAGCTCCCTGGCTTCTCCCGGCCTGCTACGGCGCTTGCAGTGGCACGCCGAGAGCACATGGCAGAGGAAGGGCGCAGCAGGGGTGCAAGCTTTTCTCCAGCATGCGTGGGGGGTCTCCAGCACTCTCCGCATGTGAGAAGCCAAGGAGGGGCTCTGCAGGAAGCCAATGCCACCGGCTCAGCAGGTGCTTGGGCATGCTCACCACCCACTGCCCATCTCTCCTGGCAACTTCAGACCTACCCGTCCCACCTTTCTTTCCCATTCTATTAGTGTTGTCAGCTCCAAGTGGGGAAATTCCTAGAGATTTGGAGGTGGAGCCTGGGGAGGGCATAATGCAATAGAGCCAGTTTGGTGTCATGGCTAAGTGTGCCGATTCTAATCTGGGAGAACCGGGTTTGATTCCCCACTCCTCCACTTGCACCTGGCTGGATGACCTTGGGCAAGCTGTAGTTCTGATAAGAGCTGTTCTTGAAAAAGAGCCGTTTCTGTCAGAGCTCTCTCAGCCCCGCCCACCTTTCAGAGTGTCTGTTGTGGGGAGGGGGACGGAAAGGAGATTGTAAGCCACTCTGAGACTCCGAGGAAAGGGCGGGGTATACATTTATTTGTTTATTTGCAGGGGTCGTTTCGTAGAAAAAGAGCTAGGGGAACTCATTAGCATATGCCACACCCCCTGACATCACCGGAAGTGTGTCATAAGACCACACCCCCTGACATCACCGGAAATGTGTCATAAGGCCACACACCCCACCCCCAATGGCAGCTCCACTGCCGAGCCCCATGAGGGGCCCGGCGGTGGACCTGCAAGGCTGGCGGGAGTGCAAGGAAGCCCCGCAAAGGCCCTCCCTGGCCCCAGGCAGGCAGGGGTGGGGAGAGGCAGGGAGGAAGCAACTTACCCTCCCTCTTCTCCTGCCTCCTCCTGGCTGAATGAGGGCCGGAAGCGGGGCGGCCGGAAGCAGGGGCCGGGGCTTTGCCATGTGCCCCGCCCCACATACCTCACCCGGGGGAACTGCGATCCCCCGCGATCAATTAAAGTGCTCACAGTGTCATTAATTCAAGATGGCGTACCATACAGTGTGGCATCCAAGTACCCAGCTCAGCGGTCTCCCAGCATATCAAGCTAATATGGCTCACTTTCAACTATGGCCAGCCCAGCGCCACCAATGTTAATAGTGGACGTTGATGGTAGTGTTGGGCGGCTCCTAATTGAAGGCCTGGTGGAAGAGCTCCGTCTTGCAGGCCCTGCGGAATCCAATCTCCTCCTCCTCCTCCTCCTCCTCCTCCTTCTAGAGTCCACCTCCAAAGCTGCCATTTCCTCTGTGGCCTGGAGACCAGCTGTAATGGAAGGAGATCTCCATGCCCCACCTGGAGGCTGGCAACCCTACAGTTGACCCTCGCCCTCTGTCTCCAGGGTCTCAAAACAGAGGCTTTTCACATCACTGGAGATACCAGGGATTGAACCTGGGACCTTCTGCATGCCAAACAGGTGCTCTACCACTGTGCCACAGCCTCTCTTATCTATGCGTCCCCCTTCTCCTAAGAGTTTCCTAGAATGGAATGGAGC